TGCACTGAGTAGCCCCAGTACTTGAGCTACATAAGCACAACTGATGATTAACTTGGGAAGATAAGTATGGAGGGCTTGCTAGGGTAGGTGATGGCTCAATCCAGTCAACAGAAACATTGTCATCAAATATAAAACCATCTTGATCCTTCATTGATTCCTCTTGTGATGAATTAGTAGGGACACTTCTCATGCACCATAATACAGTACTACCATATTTTGGTGTTAGTTTACAATCAGCTGAACACAGTGATTCACAGTGATCACAATAATGGACAGTGGACATATTTGATATATACTCATCATTTTTATTTAAAAAGAAACCTGTACATACACATACACAATTGCATTATCACTAATAGCTATTTTTACCTGCTGAAGCTGGTGCTGAAGATGGTGGTACATTGAAATTATTGCAAGCAGCATAACAAGGAATAGTTGGAACTGAAAAGATTAGAAATAAAACTAATAGTTTCATCCTGTACTAGTTACGACATATGCAGGTAGAGCAGAAACTGGTTGAAACTGAGAATGAAAGTATAATGAAGTATATATGTACTGTCATAGAGAAACTGATCATTGATGAATGATCCATAGTAGAGAATGGACCTTGAATAGTTCAATTATTGTAAGCAATCTTTTAAACATTTTAATAACAACTCTCAATATGGACAATAATAATAATAATAACAAGAAGTTACAAATGATTAAAACAGGAAAAGAGTACAAATTATTTTTATTAATCTTTATTAACTTGCTTGTTCTTTCTCCTCCTCCTTGCTACCAATTGTTGCATAAAAACAATCAAAATTATCAACACTACTGCTGTTACCAACTCCATTCACTCTCTCTTCAACCTTATCAATTCCTTTACCAGCATAAGGAGGGGGTACTGGTGGAGGAGGGTCAGATCCTTTCCTCTTAACCTCAAACAGATCATCTGGTACAGCATATTCATCATTATCATTAGCAGTTGAATGAGTGCAATCTTGATCATCCACAGACGAGTATATATCTATTGAAGGATAGGAGGACTCTTGTTGTTGTTGTTGTTGTTGTTGTTGTTTGTGCAAGCATAAACCATAATCTTCATTTAGTATTTCAGTTTCAATGTTGATGACACTACAATCGAGGAGATGTTATTATAATTACTATACCTGATGTATATGTACATGTACATGTATGAATACAAGCATGCAATACCTCAATGATCCTATGGGGTTACTCTGTACAGTAACATTAGCTCTTGATCTTCCTAATGCACTATAGAGAAGAGAAAAGGAATGAGTATATATTGATTGAAGTATTTTGAAGTATTGAAAATTGAATATAAATGTATTGCAAATAATTGATAATTTGCTTACTACTTTGTTTGTTTTTTTGAGTGTATTATGTACACACAGCCAGTTACCAATACAATGAATGTCACCAGGTTAGTAGTAGCTAATAGACCAATGCCACGATAATATGGTAGAGTTGAGTTCTGATCATTCTTAACTGATGAGGGACATGTTGTTGAACTCAATGAAGATGACAAAACTGAAGTAACTGATGAAAAATTGTTTACCGTTGTTGTTGTTGTTGTTGTTGTTTCTGTTGATAATAAAGTTGTTGTTGATACTTTCATCGTTTGATAAGATGATGATGATGTTATTATAACATTGTTTCCAGGAGCACTAGTACTGGGGACTGTGATAAGCTTATACACTGAGTATGTGAATTGTAAAGTCTCAGTCACATCACTCCCTTTTATAATACATTTATAAACACCTTCATCACTGCTGGAATTGCACTGAGTAGCTCCAGTACTTAAGCTACATAAGCACAACTGATGATTAACTTGGGAAGATATATAGTATGAAGGGCTTGCTAGGGTAGGGGATGGCTCAATCCATTCAACAGAAACATTGTCATCAAATATAAAACCATCTTGATCCTTCATTGATTCCTCTTGTGATGAATTAGTAGGGACACTTCTCAAGCACCATAATACAGTACTACCATA